CTCTGCCTCACTCCGTCCTGCCCTGTCCAGCCTCGCTCTGCCTCACCTTGTCCTGCCCTGTCCAGCCTCGCTCTGCCCCACCTTGTCCTGCCCTGTCCAGCCTCGCTCTGCCTCACCCCAGTCCTGCCCTGTCCAGCCTCGCTCTGCCTCACTCCGTCCTGCCCTGTCCAGCCTCGCTCTGCCCCACCCCGTCCTGCCTCACTCTGCCTCACTCTGCCCCGTCCTGCCTCGCCCCAGTCCCGCCTCACCGAACAGCTCGTCCTTGGCCAGGGCGTGCAGGATCCGCGACGCTCCGATCAGCGTGCCCATCGAGGCCGACAGCGAGGCACAGTACACACCGATGATCACGAAGGGGGGCCACACGTTGATCCGCTGGAAAAATCCATAATCCTGGAGCAGCAGCACCCTGGGGAGCACAGACAGCGACAGGATCAGGGTCTCTATCTTTAGCCTGGAGCCGAGAAGACCATGAGTGACTGACAACTCGATCCAAGGATTCAGAATCTTCAAGCATTCGTGACAAAGCCAACCCAAAAGGAAAACACAAACTAGTGGCAACCACTGGGTAGTACATTAGAACTGAGACCGGGGGGTGGGGACACTCCTTTACACAGACAGTGGCAGGAGTGTGGAGCAAGCCGTGCCCAGTTGAGTCGTGGAAGCAGGTTCCCTTGGGTCCCTCAGCAAGATGACTGGATCAATCAGCTGCCAGCTAACAATGCTAGATACCCGAACAGCCCCTCTTGTCTGTAACCCCTGGTTTGTTCTCGTGAACTGCCTCGCTAAGTGTTGACAGCAGAGTAGAGGAGTGCTCGGGACTGCAGACCTGTCGCAGGTGGAGCTGACGAGGAAGAAGAGCAACAGGTAGATGACGAGGGTGTAGGAGACGGCGATGATGGTGCCCTTGGGAATAGACAGGCTGGGGTTCTTCAACTCCCCTGGAGAGAGACGAGCCGGAGGGACAGAGGAAGAGAGAGGCTGTTAGCAACGTCACTGCGGCAGCTGCTGCTGCTGCTGCCGTGACGACGGCTGTCACGACTACCAGGAACGAGAGCAATACCAGACATGTTGGCCCCGGCCATGATTCCTTTACAGCCGGTGAACATCACGGCAAACACAGTGGCGAAGGTCATCATCTTGGCCGTGGTGTAGTCTCTGGAGTAGTTCCCTGGTCAGAGGGAGGGGACAGACAGAAAGAGCCTTAGTCTCGCTGCAGGTCCCCTGGGCCTGCTCCTCTGCCTCTCCCTCCTTCCCCCCCCCCGTGACCCTCCTTCCCGTGCCCAATCCCACCCCCCCAACCACCACCACCGCCCTCCCTCACCATACAGGTTGCTCCTCAGCGTGGTGGCATTGAAGCCTGTGTAGCTGGCATTGTAAGTGATGTTGGCGCCGTCCTGGTGGACGATGAAGAAGCTGCGCGGGGACAAGGCCAGGGGGCTAATGAAGATGGACAGCAGCGAGAGGGTGACGATGAGGAGGATGAAGAAGGAGGCACGGGAGTAGACCTTCGCCCCCACCAGGCAGACGAGCAGACAGAGCAGCAGGAGAGCGGATGAGTACATCAGGCTGTACCAGTAGCCCTGGGGCAGGACACGCAGGGCGTCGTGCTCGGAGGAGCCTGGGGGAGAGAGACAGAGAATGGGCGAGGATGGACAGAACCAGCGAGGGCAGAGAAGAAAGGAGGGGACTGGAGATGGAAACAAAAACAGAAATGCAAGACTCAAAAAAAGGGAAGATCTACGACCCCTGACCTCTGACCTGGCACCTTGCCGAAGACATCCAGTATGGCCTCCACAAGCCCCAGCATGTAGACCCCACAGGCACACACGTTGGCCAGGTAGAACATCAGGCCGATACTGCCTCCAAACTCCGGGCCCAGAGTCCGGCTGATCATGACTGACACGTATAGTCAAGGGTAAAACTATCAGTGGACAAACTCAGCCTGCAGAGGAGTCTTTCAGCATGTCAGCTCAGCTCCATATTATCTGGAAAGGATACAGTAAGCCCCGCCCCCCTGCACTGCCCCATTGGTGGAGATGGCGCAGACGGACAGGATCGTCAGGAAGATGATGAAGTAGGCCACGCCCAGCATGAGCAGAGCCTGCAGGAGTCCAGCCTGACCCACGACAAAGCCTTAACAACAATAAGAATGTGTTACCAACAGTTATTCGTAATAATTCCTTATACTTATGTAGCGCTTTTCTGGATACTCCACTCAAAGCCCTTTACTGGTAATGGGGACTCTCTATGGTCATGAAACATTTCAGGGCCTTGCTTGAAAAGAGTAGGGGTGTTGACCTGGTGTCCTGGTCTAATTTCCCCCTGGATTTTACCAGTCATGGCCTCCTGATATCCCCCTCTCTGAACTGGCTTCATCACTCTGCCCTCCTCCCCACTGAGAGCTGGTGTGTGGGGAGAGTACTGGTGCATCATCCAGGTGGGGCTGCACACTGGTGGTGGGGGAGGGGATCAAAATGACCTATGAAGCGCTCTGAGTGGAGTGTCCAGGAAAGCGCTGTTCAAGTACAAGTTCCCGGTCCTGCTGTCGTCTCTGCGTTTATACCTGAGCCAACCCTACTCCTGCTACCTACTCCCCCCCACCCCCCATCAAAGCGCTGTGCGCCGCGGCCTCACCGATGCGCAGGAAGACCACGATGTTGAACATGGACAGGACGGTCGGCACCATGACGCCGAAGAACGTGCCCAGGCTGCGGCTGGCGCCGCCGGGGGCTGTGGCGCTCCCCCCCGACACGCCGAACAGCCCATAGTTGAGGAGGGGCGAGCTCTCCCTGGACATGGCTGAGGGAGAGGGAGAGAGAGAGAGAGGAGAGTGAGGGCGCACTGGCTAGCACCCTACAGCAAGAGTAGGACTGCGTCCCGTCCACTAGAGGGCGGCAGCTGTCACTCGAGCGGGGCCCCCTGCGATTCAGATCAGTTTTCACACGGAGCTGGGGACTCCTTTCGGCGGCCCAGCTCGTACTGACCTGGAGTTCAGTGCGGAGGCGGTATCATCCCCGGTTAGTGCGCCACCTCTCAGCTCGCTGCGTTTGCCCCAGAGAGATGGGAGCAGGGGGGCGAGACGCAGCGAGAGGACAGGGACTTGTAACTGCGCCAGAACCGACCCCAAAAACTGTCTGCGGCGGCAAACGGCACGAAGGCGTGTTCCCACGCCGACTCAAATCTGCAGCGCGCCGTCAGTACACAACGAGTACAGGCCATTCCACGCGAGAAAAATCACGAAATAAGCGACGTTTCGGCTGTTGGGCCATGTTCGCCTTTGAGCCTCGTGCGGAAACTGTCTAGCAGGCGAAACGTTGTTGTCCCCCCGCTTATTTCTGCTCTTCACCTCTACGTGCTCGTTTCAGGCGACTCACGCTGACGCCGCACGCCCCGGTACAGCGCACCGCATTACCGGTGGGCTAACCGCGGCGATTGCGGAACCCGGCGTTGCCACACCGCCGTCTTCTCTGTCAAGCGCCACAGGCAAACCCGCAGGAACCGACAGGGGCGCGGCTGTACGAACTGGTCAACAGCCCAGCGTGAACAAAAGGGGAACCGAGATCGCTGCCGGCTGAGCCCGAGCTACCACGGAAAGCGACCCTCTGCGGGCCACCTGAGCACGGCTAACAGACGAGAGAGGGTCGGCCCAGCCGGGAAGGGCTCGGAACCGATATCGCAGTTCGGACTGGGCGGGGGAAATAGTTTCGGTACATTGGGGCCGACAGGACCAGGGTGTTCTGTATGTTGAGGATGTCGACAGCAACATCCCTTTCGGACCGCGGTGCAGGCGCTTCCTCGTCATCATTAGCGTCTCTTATTTTCAGACTCTTTGACAGCGGCCGGCCGGCCCGCTGCCTCTTGTTTTGTTTCCGGTTTGCGCGGCGCCGGGCGAGGTGACGCGTCTCTTCCGCTGCTGCGTTTGCCCGAGTTACCGCGCCGGGCAGCCTCGCCGCCACGGTCCCTGCGAGCGGCGTCCCAGTGAGGACGAGAAAGAGAGCCGTGAATAACGGGGGGGTCACTGGCGAGGATGCACGGGGGAGAGGAAACGGAGCAAAGAGCGGGGGGGGCTGCTCGCGCGCGCGCACACGCTTCTGAGGCCGAATTTCTTTATTTTTTTCAAGCAATCATAATAAAAACTACGCCCTTACCTTAAGGTCCTCGCCTCCGCGGGCGAGCTCGGTGGAGGGAGCGGTGTCGGGACCGCTCGGTCGGTGCGGGGCGCCGCCGCCTGTGCCGAGCCGGCAGCAGCAGCTTCACTTCACACAACTTGTGCCGCCGCTGGGACGCAGAGGGTGGTCGCCCTGTCCCGCACACGCACACGCACACGGGCACCTAGACGCGGCAGAGCATCCTCTTGCGACCGCCGATGCCGGGACTGCAAGGTGAACGCACAGCCTCCGCGCTGTCGCCGTTATCCCCGCCGCTGGGAGGGGAGAGTAGAGGAGAGCACGGCGCGCCTCTGTCTGCGGAGAACCTCACACCCCACTGTCAACCCCCCCCTTCGGCACACACCCCGTTTTTTCCTGCCCGTGACTGTTAGCCGGAGAGTCATGGGACTCTTCATGTGACGAGGTAGAGAGAGAGGGGGAGGGAGGTGGAGCAGGTTAGAGATAAGGGAGGGGAGGAGAGACCAAAGGAAAGGAAGAGAGTCAGAGGGGGCAGATGGAGCAGCTGCACGGGCACAGTGGCACCCAGAGAGGAAAGGCAGCTCCGGCACACGCAGGGCCTGACACTGATGCTCACATCCTGGATGCTGGAGGTCGTTGGCACCGTGACTGTACTCCCAGCAGTCCCTGCGCCCCGAGCTAGAGCAGGGGTCAAGGGGTCACTCACAGACTCCCTTCTGGTGGGGCCTCGGCTCGAACTCACACATCGGCTCTAATTAACCACGCGGCTGTCACACTTCCCTCTGGGCTCACAGGCCTGTGACACGGGGAGGGGTCTTGTGCGATCAGCTGCGAGAGAGAAGCCCCACGAGGCTGCTCCGGGGAAGAACTGGGAGGACTGGGCTAACTGGGTTAACTGGTAACGGAGGACGGAGGAGAGTGCAGACGCCAGCACCAGACCCTGCAGGAGGGGAGCTACAGCGCATTACTGCCATACAAACACACTTACAGCAGGGTGTTGTGGTCACAGCAGGTTTAATCAGCTGCCGCCGAGGACGGTCGATCAGAACACTGTCAGGGGCACATCGGCCCACATGCCCCCCGAGCGCAGGGTCGCAACACCGCGGTACCGTCCGCGACCGGCTGCCCCCTCGGCGGGGTCCGAGCTACCACACAGGGCCACGGCTCTAACCCCCCCCCAGCGGAAACAGTCAGGACTGTAGGGGCTCCCCCTTTGCCCCCCCTGACGGGCCCCCTCGCCGGTGGATCCGCCCGCCCCCCTGCGGCTCACCTCCCCGGAGGCTGGGGCAGGCAGAGGTTGTAGAAGGAGCCCGAGTCCAGGGAGCCCAGCCCCCTCCAGGCCACCCAGCCCCCCCTCTGGGCCGCCGGCCCGTCCAGCGCGGCGCCGTAGTAGTGGGGGTCCAGGACCAGCAGGTAGCTCCCCCGCTTCCCGTCGCAGACCCCCAGCACCCCCTTCGAGGCGTTGTCCCGGTCGCCCCCCATCATGACGGGCGAGCCGTGCGCGCGGAAGTGCCCGTGGAGCTGGCCCGCGACGTCCCGCAGCTCGGGCCCGGGCCGGACGTGCAGGACCCGGCAGGGGACGTCGTGAAAGTGGTCCAGGAGCATGGCCGCCTCGCAGGCCCCGATCCAGTCGCGGGACCCCAGGAAGGAGGCCGGCTTGTCTCCCATGGCGACCAGGGCCCGCTGGATTTCGGGCAGGCTGGGCGGGGCGGCTGTGCTGCTCCCGGGCCTGGCCACGCCGTTCAGGCAGACCCAGGAGGAGAGGGTCTGCAGCGTCCGGTAGCCGCAGCCCCACCCCCGGTCGTCGTGGCCGTCGCAGCCGTAGTGGAAGTACCGGCACGGCCCCCTGATCAGGGCACAGCGGCTGATGTCCCCCTCCGGCTCGGGCAGCGGCAGTCCGAGGTGGACGCCCTGGTCCCCCTCCATCCCTCCAGCTCCTCACGATGGCCGTCCACGGGCCAGGGGGCACGCCTCTACTGCAACAGCAGAACGAGAAAGGCAGAGGTTAATACCACAAACACGTCCGGTCTCCCGAACAAGAGGCTCCGCTCCTCGTACTGGTCGATCTGGACTGAACCGACTCACAGCTCCTCTCCAGTCCCTGGAGCAGGTCGATTCTCAATTTATACTGGTCGATCTGGACTGAACCGACTAACAGCTCCTCTCCAGTCCCTGGAGCAGGTTGATTCTGAATTCGTACTGGTCAATCTGGACTGAACCGACTTACAGCTCCTCTCCAGTCCCTGGAGCAGGTTGATTCTGAATTCGTACTGGTCGATCTGGACTGAACCGACTCACAGTTCCTATCCAGTCCCTGGAGCAGGTTGATTCTCAATTCGTACTGGTCGATCTGGACTG